GTTGTTTTCGATGATGTAAAATGCATGTTTGTGTTCGATTTTATTTAAGAACTGCAGGAAGTTATATGGTATTTGGACTAATAACAATTAGTGTTTCCTTGTACGAACCGCTATAGAGTAGAATTCTTTGCCTTCGGGAATCACACAGATGCTTCAAGGCCCGAGTGAATAGGTTGCTTTTAGGCAGTCGTGCTCCATCGTAGACCGCATCATCGCTTACCACCAGGCGAGATAGTAGCCAAACGCCGACCCATAACATATACAAAAATAAAAAAATAATATAAGTAATAACATCGTACAATTTACTTGCTTTTTTATGGCATAAGCCGGTAAACGAGCAGACGGATCACCTGATGGTAAGCAATCGGCGTCGCCCATGGACACCTGGAACACCAGAGGCGTTACAAGTGCGTTACGTTTGACATTCGTAGGATCGCTAACCATAGGCTACAATATAACCTTTTTCCAACGCCGCCGTCGATAAGATATAGACGGTGCTATGTCAATTTGGCAAGCAACGAAACGATCTCTAAGGTCGTTGTCGCCTTTGCGATTGTGGAATTAGATTTTCATCTAGAAACGTTCTAATCCCACTATTCTTCTATTTTGTGAGGAAAAATGTTCAAATGTCTTGTCCCGTCTGAGTAAGGCGAGACAAAGTGGTAAAACACTAACATTGACGGCTCACTGACGTGTAAACATCACCCCGTTCCTAACCCTGCTTTGACTTGAAGTCACGGTATCCAGCAAACTTGAGAGCACGATATATTTACTTCAGTCTATAGATATTATGGTTATTAATTTTATGCTCACATAATTGTTCTTTAAAGAATTTATATTAGGCTACAAAAAACTTGTATGAATGCGTGAACTGTTGGACATTTTTACTGTAATTCAAAATGGGTAGGTTTATATCAAAACTACAATAAATTGCAGATGTAGCCAAATGCCACTTAGCGCTTGTCTACTTGTAGAATAAAACCAAATTATATGGAATTGACGTAAATTTTGTTCCTTGTCAGTGTCATCCTCATACATTTAGTTTTCTACTCTCTCTGTAGACAAGCGCTAAAGTGGCGTTTGGCTAAAGCTAGTTATCTACTTATGCCAGCACGTCTGTAATGACAATAACGTCAGTCATGGTCACGGGACCACAAAATGTCAATGACCACACATTTTTTTCGAACGAAATTATCGATTTCCAAATGACAGAATGATGGAACGAAATATAAAGTGCCTGTGAACTATATGCTCAAATGCATATAGACCGGTTCACATTTGACGGAAAATGCGTCAAACGTATCATCGGAAATAAATAGATGAAATGGATTAAAATATTATGAATCAGAACACAAAGAAATGCTAATTCATCGTTTATTATTTTATAACAAGCAGAATGACGCTGAACTAGGAATTCAGTAGCAAACGACAGGTTCACAACCACATGAGCACTTCCCGGAGATAGACACGGCTCCAGCAGCCGGTACAGCGCCGCCGAAGCTCACAGCGCCCATGATGGGGACCTGTCCAGCGATAGCAGTAGTACCGGAGACTGGCAGCTCACCAAGGACCGCCACGTTGCCTTCACCGGCGCCGCCGTAAGCAGCACCAGGACCAATAGCACCTCCGTATGCAGCAGCAGGAGCAAGTGCGCTACCATAAGCAGATCCGATGGCACGAAGACCGAGTGCACCAAGACCGAGGGCACCACCACATGGAGCAGCAGGAGCGATCAGAGCAGGAGCAGGAGCTAAAGCTGGGGCTCCACATCCGCAGCCAACACCGCCGAGGTACTGACCGAACACTACCTGGACCAAGCAAGCTTGGATGCAGACCAACAGAACAGCGAACCTAGACATGTTTGATGTTCGTTTGTGTTCAACGAGGAGCTGAAGACTGAATGATGTTCCTACTTGTAGACCACGTTTATATAGTGTACGAGTGTGTTATCAGAACGACGCGAGCTATTGTCTATGTTCTACTTAAACAAAGCCCTCTATAGCAAATATTTTAAGGTCACGTCACTTACACAATGCACACTTCATTTCCTTACATTACTCGCACAACTACTGATAAACGTTTGCAAAGTTCATTTCAAAATTAACTTAAACTAGATAAGGAACACGTTTCACTATAAATACACGATCAGTTCTTCGAACAATCATTGTCAAGTTTGCTTCAACACAAAGCACAATGGCCGCCAAACTGATCCTCGTCCTCTGCGCTCAGGCGCTCTTCGTCCAGGTGGCATTCAGTCAGTGCCTTGGTCGTGCAGCTATCGCTGCCCCTGCCCTACCCTGCCCTGCTGTTGTTGCACCGAGCTGTGCTGGTAACGGTGTGATTGCTAATGGATGGCTCGGTAACGGTCTGATCGGTACCGAATGGATCGGTTACGGTCTGGTTGGTAATGGATTGGAAATCGTCCCTACCAGTGGCGGTGGACTGGCTGTGAGCAGTACCTCTGGCATCGCTCCCAGCGGGCTCTCGCTAGCGTCTGAGAATGTGTTTGAGGGTGCTCTGTCCGTGGCTGGTGAGCTGCCGTTCGTGAGTGCTGTGGCTCTGGAGGGCGCGCTGCCCAGTGCTGGTGCTGGTGCTGTCAGCTACAGCTGCGGTAACGGTGTCACTGCTATCGAGAGCATCGCTCCTTCTGCTGCTGCTGCTATTGCTCCTGCGGTAGCAGCTGGAGCTCCTGCTGCTGCTTATGGTGCTGCAGCACGCTATGGTCTCGCTAGCTATGGACTGGGCGCTGCTGGTATCTCTCCTGCCGCTTTAGGACTCGGCTATGCAGGTCGCGGATGTGGCTGTGTTGTTTAATTATGATAACACACGACACAATGCTTAGTCATTTAAGGATAATAAACTGATAACTAAGCACTTTACTTTATTGTATTATTTGAAACCCTCCTTACCATTTTATGACTCCACTATTAACGACTCTAGGCGCCGGTCGCCACTGTGTTTATGAAGTTTGCCAAGAATACCGTACTGGCTGGTTTAGAAAATTTTAGTTAATAAGTAAACTCGAACAAAATAACAGACACCTACTTTTAGTTTATATTCTAATCAATATTTGCCAATATTTCCAACTCTTCTAAAATTCACATAATGTTGAAATCTCGGTGTAAATCTTCGTACTCGTATCGGAAAGTCAATTTTACTTTTCATCCAGGTTTTATGAACAAAAACAGAAACGTTTCACTTAGAAGTTGCATTTTGTTGCCATTCGGTTTAGACGATATTTCTGCCAGTATTAGTATTAATAAATGTTTATAGATGTATTGACATTGATTTTGTAGTTCGATCGGGATTTTTTCACCAAAACCGAAAATGTTGAATATCTCAGAAATTAGCCACTTTCGGACCAGAGACCTCAGGGCTAATTTTGTAGGCAATTAGTGGTATTATCACCTCCCACATTGCGCGTAGAGACCCCAACAATCTGGAGAAGCTTGTGGTTGTTGTTCGGGATAACGGAAAAAGACCTCGTGGTCGCTCACCTACCCGGTGGTTGGATGCTGTAAAAAACCTAACCGGCCTGACAGTTCCACAAGCCATAAAGACCGCAGAAGACAGGGGCGTTTGGAAGAGGGTTGTGCATCAAGTGACGCGTGCACCAGACTAGACACGACTTTCAGTAATGAAGAAAACGACTAGGAAGAAAAAGAATCACCTCCCGAGAGGAATACGTTAAGTTAAAAGTCACCCGTATATTTATTTTTATATTTTATCTAGCTAATTTTTAAGAAATAAGTGTGGTATTTGACGCAGAAATGTTATGACGTCATAAGTTGGTATTTCATATCAAATTCATAGAAAAGTTTCCTATGTGACATTATGATAAAAGTATTGAATTTGACTAGTTGTCTATTACCGTATTTGTACTGCATTTCAAAATTGGTAGGTTTGTATCAAACGTACAGTAAACTGCTTAACTATCTACTTAAACCAACACGTCTGTAATGACATTTTGTAGACTCGAACAACTTTACCGGTTTTCAAATAACAGAATGATAGAACAAAACACAGAATGCTTGTGACCTACGTGTGCCGAAATGCACATAGGTCGGTTCACATTTGACAGAAAATGCATCGAGCGTAGAATCGAATAATAACAGATGGAATGGTACAAATTATTATGAATAAGAACACAAAGAAGTTTTCTTAATTCATCCTTTATTATTTTATACCTAACCGAGTGATATTGAAGCAGGATTTCAGTAGCAAACGACAGGTTCACAACCACATGAGCACCTTCCGGAGATAGACACGGCTCCAGCAGCCGGTACAGCGCCGCCGAAGCTCACAGCGCCCATGATGGGGACCTGACCAGCGAGAGCAGTAGTACCGGAGACTGGCAGCTCACCAAGGACCGCCACGTTGCCTTCACCGGCGCCGCCGTAAGCAGCACCAGGAGCGATAGCACCTCCATATGCAGCAGCAGGAGCAAGTGCGCCACCATAAGCAGATCCGATTGCACCAAGACCGAGAGCACCAAGACCGAGGGTACCACCACATGGAGCAGCAGGAGCGAGCAGAGCAGGAGCAGGAGCTAAAGCTGGGGCTCCACACCCGCAGCCAACACCGCCGAGGTACTGACCGAACACTACCTGGACCAAGCAAGCTTGGATGCAGACCAACAGAACAGCGAACCTAGACATGTTTGATGTTCGTTTGTGTTCAACGAGGAGCTGAAGACTGAATGATGTTCCTACTTGTAGACCACGTTTATATAGTGCAAGAGTGTGTTATCAGAACGACGCGAGTTATTGTCTATGTTCTACTGAAACAAAGCCCTCCATAGCAAATATTTCAAGGTCACGTCACTTACACAACGCAAACTCGCATTCTTCATTTCCTCACATTACTCGCCCAACTACTGATTAACGTTTGCAAAGTTCATTTCAAAATTCACTAAAACTAGATAAGGAACATGTTTTACTATAAATACGCGGTCGATTCTTGGAACAATCATTGTCAAGTTTGCTTCAACACGCAGTACAATGGCCGCCAAGCTGATCCTCGTCCTCTGCGCTCAAGCGCTCTTCGTCCAGGTGGCATTCAGTCAGTGCCTTGGTCGTGCAGCTATCCCTGCCCCTGCCTTACCCTGCCCTGTTGTTGTTTCACCGAGCTGTGCTGGTAACGGTGTGATTGCTAATGGATGGATCGGTAATGATCTGATCGGTACCGACTGGATCAGTAACGGTCTGGTTGGTAATGGATTGGAAATCGTCCCCACTAGTGGCGGTGGACTGACTGTGAGCAGTACCTCTAGCATCGCTCCCAGCGGGCTCTCCCTAGCGTCAGAGAATGTGTTTGAGGGTCCTCTGTCCGTGGCTGGTGAGCTGCCGTTCGTGAGTGCCGTATCTTTGGAGGGCGCGCTGCCCAGTGCTGGTGCTGGCGCCGTCAGCTACAGCTGCGGTAACGGTGTCACTGCTATCGAGAGCATCGCTCCTTCTGCTGCTGCTGCTATTGCTCCAGCGGTAGCAGCTGCAGCTCCTGCTGCTGCTTATGGCGCTGCAGCACGTTATGGTCTCGCTGGCTATGGACTGGGTGCTGCTGGCATCTCACCTGTGGCTTACGGACTTGGCTACGCAGGTCGTGGATGCGGCTGTGTTGTTTAATGACATGTATCATCCTGCACACAATTTATTGAAATAATAAAGTGATGTACAATTTATTTGTTGTTTAAATCACATCACCTGATAGTGCCAGCGACTACATTGATAAGTGTAATAAAAATAACTGAAACCTAAGTACCTCTAGTAACACAATTCATGCTCCTTGGGATAAACATATTGTTCAGACACTTACACCGGCTAATGGTGATGGTGATAAATTCCGACTCATTACCTACTTTGGGCTACTTTAACAGAACTATACCACAATATCATATTGTTTCTGAAAATAATGTTGAAGATAATAAATCAACCGATAGGTTTTTAAATTATCGTGTCATCCCCATAGTCAGTGTCATCCCCATACATTTAGTTTTCTACTCTCTTTGTAGACAAGCGCTAAAGTGGCATTTAGCTAAAAGCATTGGTTCGTCAAAAAACTGCATTAATCATCTAAACTAGAGGAGTTCGCGGGCTTGCGGACGATGAGAATGGGTGGTTCCCTGTCCGACCAGATTTGAATGGTGGCGGGTAGATAGCTACATTTATTTAATAAACCAGTTTACTGCTAACTCTCGCCTATCATTGACGTCACCATAGTATAAAGAACGGGAAGTAGGCCATCTTCTTCCCAATCCGTGATATAATTGCCTACTGTCTTAGGGTTGTCACTTTTAGTTTAGGCGCAGCTTACATAGGTACCAAGATTGTTTACCTTTAGTTAACCACATAATTAGGTAGGTACTTAGTTACTAAATATACCTAAAATACTGAGAAATCAACATAACCATAACTAAACGTAAACAAAACAATAGGCGACAATAGCGGCAAATGAATTTCCAGATCATAAGTACCTATCTAGTAGGAAATTGGGCCTACCTACTTCCTATGTAATACTGATAGGAAACTAACGCAAACAAAAAATAAGTAAGTAGGTACCTATGTCATCATCAAGTGACTAGCTTATCTTTCCTGTTCAATAGGTAATCTGAACAGAGACAGTTCTGGCATCGATGAATTATTAAGATAACCAAACACACAGCAATACGTTCTTCTACGATTATCAGAAATTTTTTATTCATTTAAAAGTACCGAAAAGTGATGCGCGCGCGAACCTCGTGCAGTGTTAGCCCTGCCTGGCGCACTGAGAAACGGGTCGAGATTTTGTTAAAGTGTGCGTGCGTCGACGCATAGATACTATGACGCACACATATGTATAAGCCGCGCGCGGTGCATTTGTATGAAGATAGCCTACTTCCCTTTTGTTTATACTATGACGTTACATTGGCGACGAGGATTACAATTTGTTCATTAGAAGTTTCTCAATACGCGTGTAGTTTCAGTATTGTTTCAGTATTAAGATGCCTATTGGAAAGTTAAAACCGTTTAACTAAAGTTCTAAGCATTGATTTGACCATATTTTTGATTTTTGAATTCATCTACCTAATTTTTAAAAATAAGTGTACTGTTTGACGCAAAATATGATGTCATAAGTTGGTATTTCATACAAAGAAAAGTGTCCTTTTTGACATTATGATAAAATTATTGAATTTGACTAGTTGTCTACTACCGTAATTGCACTGCATTTCAAAATTGGTAGGTTTGTATCAAACGTACAGTAAACTGCTTAACTATCTACTTAAACCAACACGTCTGTAATGACATTTTGTGGACTCGAAATACTTTACCGGTTTTCAAATAACAGAATGATTGAACAAAACACAGAATGCTTGTGAACTACGTGTGCCGGAATGCACATAGGTCTGTTCTCATTTGACGGAAAATACATCGAGCGTAGAATCGAATAATAACAGATGGAATGGTACACATTATTATGAATAAGAACACAAAGAAGTTTTCTTAATTCATCCTTTATTATTTTATACCTAACTGAATGGTACAGAAGCAGGATTTCAATAGCAAACGACTGGTTCACAACCACATGAGCACTTTCCGGAGATAGACACGCCTCCAGCAGCCGGCACGGTGCCTCCGAAGCTCACAGCGCCCATGATGGGGACCTGACCAGCGAGAGCAGTAGAACCGGAGACTGGCAGCTCACCAAGGACCGCCACGTTGCCTTCACCGGCGCCGCCGTAAGCAGCACCAGGAGCGATAGCACCTCCGTATGCAGCAGCAGGAGCAAGTGCTCCACCATAAGCAGATCCAATTGCACCAAGACCGAGAGCACCAAGACCGAGGGCACCACCACACGGAGCAGCAGGAGCGAGCAGAGCAGGAGCAGGAGCTAAAGCTGGGGCTCCACAGCCGCAGCCAACACCGCCGAGGTACTGACCGAACACTACCTGGACCAAGCAAGCTTGGATGCAGACCAACAGAACAGCGAACCTAGACATGTTTGATGTTCGTTTGTGTTCAACGAGGAGCTGAAGACTGAATGATGTTCCTACTTGTAGACCACGTTTATATAGTGCTCGAGTGTGTTATCAGAACGACACCAGTTATTGTCTATGTTCTACTGAAACCATGCCCTCCATAGCAAATATTCCAAGGTCACGTCACTTACACAACGCACACTCGCATTTCTCCATTTCCTCACATTACTCGCACAACTACTGATAAACGTTTGCAAAGTTCATTTCAAAATTCACTAAAACTAGATAAGGAACACGTTTCACTATAAATACTCGATCGGTTCTTGGAACAATCATTGTCAAGTTTGCTTCAACACAAAGCACAATGGCCGCCAAGCTGATCCTCGTCCTCTGCGCTCAGGCGCTCTTCGTCCAGGTGGCATTCAGTCAGTGCCTTGGTCGTGCAGTTATCCCTGCCCCTGCCTTACCCTGCCCTGCTGTTGTTGCACCGAGCTGTGCTGGTAACGGTGTGATTGCTAATGGATGGATCGGCAACGGTCTGATTGGTACCGAATGGATCGGTAATGGTTTGGTTGGTAATGGATTGGAAATCGTCCCAACCAGTGGCGGTGGACTGGCTGTGAGCAGTACCTCTAGCATCGCTCCCAGCGGGCTCTCCCTAGCGTCTGAGAATGTGTTTGAGGGTGCTCTGTCCGTGGCTGGTGAGCTGCCGTTCGTGAGTGCTGTGGCTCTGGAGGGCGCGCTGCCCAGTGCTGGTGCTGGCGCCGTCAGCTACAGCTGCGGTAACGGTGTCACTGCTATCGAGAGCATCGCCCCGTCTGCTGCTGCTGCTATTGCTCCTGCGGTAGCTGCTGCAGCTCCTGCTGCTGCTTATGGCGCTGCGGCACGCTATGGTCTTGCTGGCTATGGACTGGGCGCTGCTGGTATCTCTCCTGCCGCTTTAGGACTCAGCTATGCAGGTCGCGGATGTGGCTGTGTTGTTTAATTATGATAACACACGACACAGTGCTTAGTAATTTAAGGATAATAAACTGATAACTGAGCACTTTACTTTATTGTATTATTTGAAACCCTCCTTACCATTTTATGACTCCACTATTAACGACTCTAGGCGCCGGTCGCCACTGTGTTTATGAAGTTTGCCAAGAATACCGTACTTTAATAGATATTGTCAGCTGTCGATTGTTGAAACATTTCAAGTAGAGTTTTTTGAAGTTGTGCATCACTGGCTGGTTTAGAAGATTTTAGTTAATAAGTAAACTCGAACAAAATAACAGAAACCTACTTTTAGCTTATATTCTAATCAATATTTGCCAATATTTCCAACTCTTCTAAAATTAATATAATGTTGAAATCTCAGTGTTAATCTTCGTACTCGTATCGGAAAGTCAATTTTACTTTGATTCATCCAAGTTTTGAGAACAAAAACAGAAACATTTCACTAAGAAGTTGCATTTTGTTGCCATTCGGTTTAGACGTAACCTATTAAATGTAACATTGCCCAACCTCACATACCTTTCCATCAACAGAGGACAGACAGAAGTGCACTATGTGAAACAAATGTTTTAGAAGGTTTAGGAAGCGTCTGCGAGCATGTATTCGTCATAGGGAAGGTGATTTTGAATAAGATTTTGTAAATACTGATGTTTTTGAAATTGCCCGTTTTCCTTTACAATTAACAAATCATCAATTTACTAATTATTTTTTTTTAATTTTAGAAATAATTTAATGTTTTTTGGTAGGTAATAAATCAAGAAAGTTTTTCTAATGGTTTGTACGTTTAGTGTAATGTAACTTTTTTAAGCTAATTGCAGTTTTATATTGACCAAATTAGTTACTCAAAAGAAAATTTGACACTAATTGACTTGCTATTTTAAAACTAATGATATTTCTGCCAGTATTAGTATTAACAAATGTTTATTGATGTATTAACAACAAATTAAAACTAAAATCACTTAAATCAAACTAGCGGTTTTTTATTTATTGTCGATTTTGTAGTTCGATCGGGATTTTTTCACCAAAACCGAAAATGTTGAATATCTCAGAAACTAGCCACTTTCGGACCAGAGACCTCAGGGCTAATTTTGTAGGCAATTAGTGGTATTATCACCTCCCACATTGCGCGTAGAGACCCCAACAATCTGGAGAAGCTTGTGGTTGTTGTTCGGGATAACGGGAAAAGACCTCGTGGTCGCTCACCTACCCGGTGGTTGGATGCTGTAAAAAGCCTAACTGGCCTGACAGTTCCACAGGCCATATAGACCGCAGAAGACAGGGACGTTTGGAAGAGGGTTGTGCATCAAGTGACGCATGCACCAGACTGGACACGACTTTCAGTAATGAAGAAGACGACTAGGAAGAAGAAGAATCACCTCCCGAGAGAAACACGTCAAGTTACAAGTCACCCGTATATTTATTTTTATATTTTTTCTAGCTAATTTTTAAGAAATAAGTGTGCTATTTGACGCAAAAATTTTATGACATCCTAAGTCAGTATTTCATACAAAATTCATAGAAAAGTTTCTTTTTTGACATTATGATTATGAGGTACTTAATTTGACTAGTTGTCTACTATCGTATTTGCACTGCATTTCAAAATTGGTAGGTTTGTATCAAACGTACAGTAAACTGCTTATCTACTTAAACCAACACGTCTGTAATGACATTTTG